GTGGTTAGACCAGAGTAAGCGTTAAAATTCCGTACCTTTACACCTACACTGTACAAACAAATTGTAATTGCACGTTTTTTTCAGTAACTTTTCTATTGCGAACAAGTCTTCATTTTTAACAAATTGCGATTCATCGTTATTTTACGAATTGCTTTGTAAAATCCAAGGCTCGACCTAAAGAGATTAAATTTTTATGTATTGGGCAAATTTATGACTTATGACCCTATCTGCATTCGTTACGGAATTTATTTGTAACATTACAAAATGATACGTGAATTGAATGTTACAAAATACTGTCGTATTTTTTACGAACCTTTTGTTACTTTGTTTCGTAAAATTATGGAAACGTTTTTTAGTGTAGGACAATGCGTTGGAGGTTTATTACCACTAATAAGTGTAGGATTTAAGGGATGTCATACTTTAAGCTGACGACTTTGGCATTTTTCAGGAAGAAAAATTGGGGGCCTTGGTTATATGACCATTACCAATGTGTGAGTGAGTTTTGTTTCCCGACTGCATCTCAGTAAACAAAGAAACAACATCAGAATGTACCTCCAGACCCATTCTAATGGTCTTGGCAGCCTGAACCTACAGAAAAGCTGTTGTCTATTTAAGAACCCCGCGCGCCAGATTCCGACACATAATGGTTTAAATATCTTCACGAAGGTTTTCCTGAATCAGAACCACAAGGACTATATAATGACACGAAGGGTTTTAGTATACTTTCTAAAACAATATTGAATTATTTTATTTCACAACTACCCAAAAATTGTTAAATTCAGTTTTGTTATATTGCTAATGGAATATTTTTCTTTTACGTAGTATACTATAAAACCTCTGTATTTTATAGTTCATAATTTTATAGTATATTGGACCTTTGCCAGGCCTAAATGTTGCTCGGATGTATTACTAATTAGGCGCATTCATGTACCACATTAAGCTTGTTGAACAAAGGCCTGCATTTGCTAGATCTTGCCTTGGCCCGGGGCATTGTGTAGCGGAAGTGGAGCAGTTAATAAAATTGGTACTTACTTTGCATACATTTTCTGAACTTGGACTGAACACAAACGATTGTGCTTGAGTGAGAATGTTAGGTAATAGGCATATCCTTGATATATGCAAATAAGACGATTCGTTTTGTAAGAGACAGCCTCAGACTACCCCAGACGATCATTGTACACACTGCCCCAACGTACACATCCTGTTTTCTGGCCTCGTTGGCCGAGAACCCTCGAAGTTGTGTTAGTGACAACGACCGCTTTCCAAGTGCTGAGGAATATACTTCGATAAATAATCAGTAGTTGGGGGTATGTTTGTAACCCAACGAGCTCAACGGAAAAAGGTTATGTCGTTATATGAGGGAAATTGCCCACAAACCGGGTTAGCCTGACATGGCCACCCTCTCACCGCCGTACCGCCGTTACATCTCCCTAACCACGGATTTCTGATTGCAAATGACCTTTGTCACTCAGAAGACATGATATAAACATTCACATTTGGTTCTGGACATGCCATATTCGAAATGAAGATGTCTGTTACACGCTGCCCCACCTTCCCTTACGTAGAAGTTATTATCGAAAGGCCAGATCTAA